TAAGAAACAATGTTTGCACAGAAATACAGTTATCCAAGATTCACTATTTCATTTTTTCCTACTTTAAAAGTCCTTCCATCCAACCACAGAAAAGCAATAATTTGGAAAATTATGCAAGGCTAACAGCTAATAATGGTTGAAGGAAAGAGATCACAAGTTCCATTGGCTGACATTTGTATAAACTATTTGCAGAACACTTGAGAAAAGCAACTCTGGTCATGGAAAGAAGGATGAGGTTGTGAGTGATCTGCGAACAAGGAAAAGGTCCAATAAATTGGCTCACTTATTCACACTGAATAATTCAAACAGCTTGACTCAACACTAGACATACTCCTCACTCCTTTTAAAGGATTAAAATATTCATGGTTTCTTCTGTCAAATGCCATTACCGCTTTGTAATATCAGGAGCAATGGTTATCTTCCCAAGGGCTGTAGAGACTTGGATGTGGGGCATCAACTTCAGTTGTAGAAGCTGCCTAGCAAACACTGCTTCTACCAATGATCTCACTCATATTTGTGTCCCCCACATCGCACTAGTCCTAGCAAAGGCAAGTTTAAACACTACCTCCATCTTTACTGCTTATATTCCAGTGCCACATAAGCACTTTTGTGCTGCCCAAGAGCACTGTGCAGTGAAAGCTCAGAAAGAAGGATATCCCCTCTCTACCACAGTTGTAACAAGGTCACCTTAGACAATATCCTTCATTCAATAAAGAGTTCAAGAACGAACCTCTTTTTGCCCCTTTCCACAGCCAGGCATGCAAAGCTGAATGGGAGCAAGTGAAGACAAGAAATGCAGGTGCTGAATATTAAGGATTTTATGTCAGAGAAACCCACTACAGTGGGTTATACAGAAGTCACCCACTTCCTTGAAGTGGCCATTAGCATCCCTCCTGAAAATAAAAATGTAGGGGACACAGAGCTACTATTCAGCACATTCCCAGACTTCCACTCCCAAAGATACTTAGAAAGAAACTTTTCTTTAACTGTGTCAACACTCTAGTCTACTTCAATTCATGTTTTGCAAGATGGACGCACTTTAAAAATTCTTTAAGAATTCTCTGTGTATTTGGTAAATTCCTCTTTAAGACAATCCAACCTGTTCAGTTTTTCAGTAGATTTTTTTTTTTTTCCCCTGCTTTCTTTTAAAGACATCTTAATTAGTCTAATCCTGACTGGTCTCTTTCCAATGTTCCTGTTGGCACAGTAGGATTTCAATTAACATTCTGCTTTAGCACTGCAAATGCCCTTGCTCAGATTTTTTTTTTTTTTTTTTTTTTTTAAATGTGCTATTTTGGATGCCATCTCTCTTCTCTTTTCTTCCTCAAAAATTGTTCAGCTTCTAAAAGGTTTTGGAAGCGGAGGTTGTTCTGCCAATTTGTGCTTTCTGAGCTTATCAAGACATAGTGCATCATTAATTTTTTTTTTTTTTTTTTTCCACTGGAGGGTTATATTCCTTGTCTGCTCTGACCACATCACTCATCTCCCTTTCAACCCCTCATGGTTTCACAACAGCAAGTTCAAGCTTCTTGTCCTCAGCTTCAAGAGTCTTCAAAGCTCCACCCTTCTTTATTTGTCTGTTCTTGTCTCTAACTGCATTTCTCTTTCACACACACATACACACACACTTTCTTCTAATCCACCAACAATAACAATCTTCTCTGCTGTTTGTCAGCTTCTCTCACACACAGCTCCACCCTGCCCCTCACACATGGAGTGCCCTCCCTGAACTGAGCTGTCAGGCGATTGTCCTCGCGTCTTTGAAATCTATCCTTAAAAATCCACCTCTGCTGCAACGTCTAAAAGAAATCAGCTAATTAACGACAGTTATGTTGAGGGGCAGATGGAATAGCTGACATTTACTTTACAATAATAAAAAACAACAAAAAAAGTAAATCGCCTTTTGTGCAAGTGTGAGTAAGTATCTTCATCTATGCTACACTACTCTTCCAAAGGGACAATCATATGGATGAAGCAGTGACTAGATCCTGCAGGCTTTGCACATCATCTCTGACTGATTTTTAGATCATGGGAAACTCTCTCTTTCCCTACTCTTCACCTGCTTTGCATGTTTAAACTATAAAATCTGCAGGATAGCATCTGTGGATATGTCTACTCTGCATATCATGTAGTAACCGATAACCTTTAAGTGAGAGGACAGTCACAGCAGCATGGAGCTAATTTACTCAGAAAGTATGTTGTATTATGCAATATGTGTCCACAGTAATTAACACAATGACAAAATTGTCTTAATCGAATTATCTTGGAAGTGCATAGCACAAACAGAAATAACAATGCTGAGCTAAGTACCTTGCTACTACTGGAATGCTAAGTGATAAAAACATAATATAACCGGACTTATGCTTAACCTGCGAAAAGCCAACTGTTCAAACATGTGGGCTTGACTTCAAAGACACTGCTGCACAAAAGTATCCACTTACGTCCACTGTATTTATAGTTGCTCATAGGCAAACAAAATCCTACTGTGGATCTCAGCCTATATATTTCAGTTCCAATCCAGACTTCTATAAAATCGTGCTACTTTAATACAACTGAAAACCTCATCTATTAGACTAGAAAGCAGAGAGAGGCACATCTGTTGCTAACCTCTCCTTTGCATTGCTCTTGGCTACAGAAATTGGCACACCTTAACCACATGAGCCCAATAAACCAATCAGACCTTTCTGTGCTTACTCATCTTCTCTGGAAAACTAGCTTATGTTCCTGGTACATCAGTTTTCAATCACTAAAGAGAGTGTAAAATATCTACCAGTTGACAAATTTGTTGCAAAACTTAAATATTTAGAGAACGACAGATGAAGAGCAGTAGTAAACCAGGACTGCTGCCACATTAAAACTGCTTCAAACTGGAACAGTTAATCCAGATAGTAATCTGCAGCAGGTGGATGAAAGTTTTCAGCTGTTCCAAACAAAAGATGTGCCTAAGTGACTAATAAGAAAAGGTTCATTTTTGCTCCTTTTATAGTAGCCGAATAGTATTTACTCTTTTTGACTTCATATTACATTCCTCTGCTTCCAAAACCCACTAGAAAACTTGAAAATAAATAACGAAATAAAATAAAATAAAAAAGCAACACAAAACTAAAAATCTACTGCAACATTCTTCCCATGTTAAACCCAAGTACGTTTTCCCCTCTGTAGTCTTATCTGAAAGCAATTCAGATCACCCTCCTCATTGGCACTGAACACTGCTATCAGTTTCCAAGATTTCACAAGAAGTCAGGTGCAACCACATAGAGACCTAACAACATCACCTGAGGAGCCCAAATGATCGTCCTATCTCATTTCCACACAGTATGACCCTATTAAAAAGAATTCATAGATGACCGCTTCACGGCTGCACCAGGAGTTTCCATTCCACTGTAGGCCCAGTGAGAATGAACATGCAGCCCGAGTGTCACCTGCTATTTAACATCTTCTCATGATTCTTCATACTAAGGAGCTTCACCCACGTGTTCTGGGATGAAAGGGAGCACTGCAGGAGACACCCAAGCGAGTCTGCCAAGGTGGAGGTGGAAGCTAATTGAAAGAGTTTTCTCTGTACAAGGATCAAGTAAGCGTAATTTAGGCCAAAACAGCTCAAATTGCCCAATATGTCAAAGTCACAGTTAATTTAGAATCATCATCCTGTAACACTACTGGGTTATTGGTTCTACCTATCAGGGAAATATAAATGTCCTATTACTTCAGCTTCAGAAAGCAACATATTAAATGAGGTATTTACCCACTTTATATTTGAGTGTGCAAGCCTATACGTGCCTTTTTTTCCTTCTTTTCTTTTTTTAATTAAATTGATGGTTCTAGCAGGTAGAGGAGGAACACATAGCTGGTAATGGTAAAGGAAAGAAGTGTGTGGGATCTTCTTTTGAGTATAATTCTTCAGTACATTAAATGAGACGAACAAAAGAGAAATTAAACATAATACTGTGCCATGGTACTGTGACATAAGTGTCAACTTAGAATTTCAAATACAATTATAAGAGTCTTCTAATAATTATATAGGTGGCAAACAAGGCGTTAGGGCAAACATATGTAGCAAAAAATTACTAATGGCATTCTACAGAAGATCAGCTAAGCCTGACCTCTCCTATGCATCATATTGTGGTAAGGTCAACTTGGTGGAAAGGTTAAGAGCAGTTAAACACTGACCCATCCCTCCCCAGTCTTTTCCATATTCATAAGAAACTATCATCCATATTCATGCAACAAGATAAGTACCTTCAACATACAGAGGTTAAAAAAAAAATAAAAAAATTACTTCTTTAGAATCTTATTCAGTGCCATGACACTAATTCCCAGAGCATGGATCAGGACATAAATTAGTGTGTATGTAAGGCTGGGCAGGATGGGTGAGCAGAAAACACAGAGCAGCCTCTGGGTGACACTTAAATATTGAAAATATACATTCTGTCATCCTGAAATTGTAACCAGACACAAGAAAACACAACTCTTGTATGTGGGTAGAGCACAATGACTTCAGGATATATGATTCATACAAGTGCCTGCCTTACACAGATCCAGCTGCATGCCTGTAAACACATGGATATTTGGAACCTGAACTTCTAGTCCTAACAGGTAAGTGGCATGAGAGGCCAAAGCCTACTTTATGAAACCTTAGGCCAGTATCCTCAAGCAGCAACAATACAAACAAAAGGCACAGACATCCTATTGCTACTCCAAGACTGGGGCTACGGGTACGTCGTGGGTTTTTTAGCAGAGAACTGTCTAATAAAATCATAATGTGTTATGTACCTCTCCTTTTGCTGTTTGCACTTCTTTTGGTACACAGCACTAAATGTACTTGGAGAGGAGCAGGGCTCAGAAACACCCAATCCTTTTGTAGAATTTACCTTCAATGCACCTTGTTTTGCCTCTCCTGTGAAATAACTTTCCAAACATGAGATCCCCTTCAGTTTCTCCTTTAGTTCTCTGCCTTCATTTCTAGATCTTAAAGGAAATAAAAAATTATTTAATATTACCTTTATATTGAGTTGATATTCCTCTGCTACAAGTCTCCAAGTCTCTTCTCACATTTTGGTTAAAAAAAAAAAAAAAAAAAAGAATTTGAGTTGACATTAAAACAGCTGCCCCACTGCCCCACCCTTTTTTGCAGGTGAAAAATATATCCAATTAACTGGTCTTCCCTCCAAATAGAACTTCTTTCCCTGCCTACTGAAACAGAAAGTCATGAACATCACTAGAAGAATATTTTTATACAGTAAATGCCAGCTTCACTCCCTGTTCATTTTTTTCCCAGGAAAAAGTCACTATCTTTCTTTCCATTTCTACAGAAGCACTGACTCCTTCAGTGCATTTCAATACTAAAAATGGCTCCATTTTTATTGCCACTCCACTCATCATTGTTAACATAATGGTGGCAAAGCAGTAAGGGAGGCTAGATGGCTAAACTAATAGCTTTCTATTGTTTTCATTGGGTATAGATTTATACAGCACTTTTGCAGGCATCAGTTTACTCCACTGATTTTTAAATGAAGATTGTATCTTTCGGGGTTTACTCAGAGAAGTCCAGATGCCTGCGCTGGGATATTGCTGAGCTGAAGGTCTGGAAGCTTGCACGTATCCCGAGCACGAGGAGCTACCTCAACCTCAAGTGATTAAAAAATAAATGAATTATAAAGGGGAGGGAGCAGGCAGCAGTGGAGGCCTGACGGGCTGCCTGCGGCACAACATGGCGGCCGCGAACAGCCAGGCGGCTCCCAGCAGACTACGAGGACCCCTGAGGAGGAGGCCCGCAGCCTTGCTGAGGTCACCTCTCCCTCCGAACGTCAGCAATTACGGGGAGGGTTTACCCCCTGAGAGGGGACGGGCGCTGCCCTGAAATCCCAGCTGAGCCCTGTGGGGTTTCCAGGCTGTTTGCGGAGGAAGGGGCCGCGCCGTGGCAAGATGGGGCCCGGTGCCCGGACTCCCCTCCCACGCGGGCGCCAGCCCCACGGGCAGCGGGAAGACACGGGGGGGGGGGGGGGGGGGGATCTGAGGTGCTGGTGGGGGAGGAGGGGCCCACCGCCATCACATCTGAGCCCTGGCACTGCCCCCCGCACCGCCACGGCCACGGCCAGGCTTCAGGGGCCGTTGTGGGGAGAGGGCGGCTGGCCGTCCGGCAGCAGGAACCTTGTAAATTTTCTCTGGAGATTTAATAAGTTTCATTAACTCCGCTCTTGTTTGTAATACACAACTAGGCTGTATGGCCTCCTCTAATTCCTAATCCTTGGCGTTACTATAATGGCATGCCAGTCTTTGCCACCATTGTAGCAACCTCTCCTTTTTCTTACCTTGTATTCCTTTCTGGTTTGAAGGGTAGGGCGTTTTTTCCCTGCTTACATTTATTTCAAAGAAAGTGAAGCCGTGTCTGTATTAATTGACTTCTGATCCTAAGGTGCTTAAACGATCCCACGCCTCTCCCTCCAAAGGTGCAATGTGTAAGTACCTGGCTGTCTTTAACGTATTTTATCTTCGTGCTGCCCTTCTCATCCCACCTGGGCAGGAGCTGTGGGGTGGTCTCTCGGCCCTGGGCAGCCCCTCGCCCCTTCACAGCCCGCATTGGTAGACTCAGCCCAACCAGTCCGGCCTCAGCTCAGGAGAGTTTTTTTTTCCCCAGCTTCGGACCGGGGTGTTTTGTACCTGAAGCAAATGTGACTCCCAGGTGCGCTGCAGAGACCAGGCTGCGTGTGGATAAGACAACGACAGCCAAAACTCAACAAACAAGTAAAGCCCGAAAGAGCTCTGGAGCTCCCCAGTTCGCATTATGACTTTTATACTTTCCTCATTTTAGTTCTTTAAAAGACAGGTAAAACAGAGAAAAAGATTAATACTCATTATTATGTAGTGCATTTTCTAATACACCACTTTTATTCTGCATGTGCTGCTGAGGAGTTTCATAAAAAGCATTAAGAAAGTTTATAAATGCATAAGCAAATATTTACTTCCCTTGAGAAACATTTTTTGTCACTACCTGTTGCAAAGGGAGTTTATTATTGATGAAATCAACTGTCCTGGGTGTTTTAATTTAGTAGGCACATGCAAAAAATGTCCTATTTCTGAATTGTTATACAAAGGAAATTATCAGCCTTTTAAAACTTCATAGTTTTCTTTCTGCTGGGGAGAAACCAGGCAGAGGTAAGCAGAGGTAAAAAAAAAAAAAAAAAAAAATCTCTAAATAATTTGATTTCTTCTTTGCTTCTATACCAAGACTTTTTTTGCACGTTTGTTAGCACTAAAGCTGGACTATGAAGCAGATCACTGATTGCAGAATCGGCTGATGATATTGTAACTAATAAAAACTATAGAAGAAAATAATTTGGAAAGAAATGTGGCTTTTAAAATCCAGGGACCATTCTTAACCAAATACTTATTTGGGAACGTATTACTCAGAGTTGCTTTAGACAGCAAAAATGAAGTAAGAGCAACGGTAAAAGTCACACCATAATGAGAATAGACTACATAGCATGATAGTTTAGGGTATTTTTCTATGTAGCATGTTGAAATGTCATGCAGAGGTATCCAAGACAGTTGGTCACTAGCTGCAATACAGTTATGTTACACTGTTACACTATGGAGATTAATTTAGCCTATTTTTTTAGCAGGACCTATTTATCCCATGCAAAGCACCATGCTCTCCTAGGTCACTCATGCCTAGCTCCTGTGTGGTTGTATCCTTCATATACTGACTGTTCAGATTCATGATTGCTTCTAAAAGTTACTACAGATTGCTAAAAGCGAAACATACTTTATATGCATGATTTTAACCTCTCTCTCTCACATGAATAGCATATTTGACCCTTACTTTTCTAACTCTACACACCTTGTGGCCTCCTCTCTGGAGAGTTCAAACAGGCAATGTCAATGAACAGAAGGCTTGCTTGTGCAGTGAGGAGAGCATACCTGCAAAGAAGTATCATGAAAGAAAATGGGAATATTATATGCAGCAAGGGAGAACTGCAGGTCTCCAGACCGGGTCCTAGAACATCACCTGCCCGTTTTGCAAATCAGAATTTGCTGATTAAAAGTCCTTCAACACATATTGTAGAGTTTAAATGTCTGTAAGAGAGTCTATCTGCAGAATTCCACAAGTCTATAAGAAACTTATACAAAGAAACAATCAAGCACATTTTGTGCTTTCTTGGCAAAAGAAGGGGGAAAGTCCTGTCAGCAGCCCAAGCTATGCAGTGTGGAAAAGCTAAGTAGACATGCTGAAAGTATAGCAGTGGTTTAGGCTCAAATATATATTACTGCCTTGGATTACACATTTTTTCTGTGTTTATTTTATGTTTCCATTTGTCAACGTACCTATAGCGAATTCTTTGTGGCTTTGGCACATTGTAAGGGAGCAGTTCTCCCTCCCACTAATCTACAGAATTGCTTCAGTTCTTTGACAATTAGAATTACAAAACGTTTTACTCAAGTAAATCAGGCACTTCAGGATTCATGTAGATTTAGTGCTTCTTGGAGAAGTTGTATTACATAGCCTCACTTGCTCTAGGATTTTGAGGGCCTTCAGTAAAGCCTCTCTTGGATAATATCATGCTAAATAGTCTTTGTTTCTGTTTGTCCCTGAAACTTGCAGTTTTCCACTTCACTCTCAAAGTTCAGTTCAAGATGAAAGGTTATAACCTTGTTTGTTACCTTTTCTCCTGACTTATCAGTGACTGGGGGGGCTCTTTTTCTTCTTGCTCTACTGCTCATCATGGCTGAAGAGAAAGGAAGCTTTTGCAACGTGCCCCTTTGCCCATAATAGGGAATTTATCAGCAAATGTAGATCCTGACCTTGCTGGATATCCTAGCTTCCACGGACAGTTTAGTCTACTGGCAGAGCACTCCTGCCAGGAGAGGCAAGGGCTTTTGGTTTCTGAGTCGATGAGGCCTGAACATCAACTCTGAAGTCCGTCTGTGCCCTGATCTTCCCTCACTTTGCCTTTTATTCTGAAACTCTTTCGTCCTGTAAATAACAAAGCTCAGCCTGATTTTCACCTAAATCTGCTTTGTGCTTTTTTTAGGAGTGCATTTTTAAAAAGTCTCTCCACACCCATCTCTTGTAATCAATAGAACGGAATCAATATTTAAGGGTCAAGACCTTTTCTTTTTCCTGTGGCTAAGCTTTTTCCAGCCTTGCATTTTAAATAAAACCTGTATTCCCAGCCATCTGTAAAAAGGATAGGAGGAAAAAAGCCAGCTGATTAGTGTCTCTCTTTTAGGTCTTAGGGTAATGGCTGCTTTTACCTTTCTAGTTTAATTCAGCACATTTACAAAGCATTAAATCTGTCAGTACGGCATTAACTCCTATCATGTGCATATTAATAGGAATAATAATCAAAACATCGAGTGAGTTTGGGTGTTAAAACTGGTAATATTTTCTTTAAGTGCTAGTACACATTTGGCTCAGAAGGTGCTCAATATTGCAAAGGATTTTTAAACTAAGATTTATCGCCTATCTATATGGAAGTGTTTTGCGGTAAACCTTCTCATTTGTACCCCAAAGGGCAGGACTTTGTCATCGTGCTGATGTTTTCATGGAACATATTTGTAAAACACAATTTCTAACTTTTGTTGCCTCCATTAAGAAGAATGTTGATTAAGTGGAATCAGCATGTAAGAAAATATTTAGCAGCTGTTCTCTTATTGCAAAATCGTAAATATATGGAAAAATAATCACACAGATATTTTATGCCAATTAACAAATACGTCTTTTAATTAAAGCATTTTGAGCATTACAGCATTGTCTTAATATTAGTGAAATTCAAATAAAATGTAGGGATGGTGGAATTAGAGAGAAAACATCTTCATCAATATATTAGAAAGGTTTTGTTAACAAGCCAGCTGAATGGGTTCAGAGGGATTCTTGTTTTGTATGATTTTTAAAATTTCCCCTCTATACATTTTACATCATTACAATGCTCTCATTAAAAACAGAAAGGAAAAAAAAAAAAAAAAAAAACCCAAAAAACAACCAAAGTCTGCTTTCCCTTTAAACAGCACAAAGGATGGGAAAAACTACTGCATTACTACAAATTATTTGCAGCTTCAGTGTTGCCAACGTATAACAGTTGTAAATCAAGGATATATTTTGAAATATCCTAAATCAGTTTTTACAAATCAGCACTCTTAGTAACAGCTTTCAAAGAATAAAAGAATACAGCCATGGGAATTCATATTTATGGCTGAGGGTAAGTACGAATTAAACGTATCTGTTTCACTTATGTTGTAAGGTACTATTATTCAATGGTCCAAAGTATTATCAATTTATCTGTATTCACTTTTTATTAGGACAGAGGTGCACAACCATGCAGGTTTCAACGATGTAGATAATAATAATCAGGAAAAGAAATATTCCCTGGTGAGGATGAAATGTATGCATGCTACCTTCTCAGAGGCTCAGTACTGTGTCTTTAGGAAAAGCAGTACACCTGCAAGAACGTTGTCCTGGAACACACTAAAGGAGTTGACTGGCTTTGTCAACTGCAAAGTAAAAGCCTTTGCTGTACCCTCTGCTCATATCTAATCATTTTTTGCCTTGCACACACCACCTACACACCTAACACTTCACTGACAATGCTGTGCCTTTCCCCACTACCCCCCGAAACACAATGGAAAGTTAATTGAATGTTTTATGCTTTAGCAATATCAAAGAAATGAAAAGAACGTAGGTTTCAACTGTATTTCAATAATAAGTGCATTAATTTTTACCTTTTAACTGACACTTGTACTAATTTCCTTAAATGCTCTTTTTTACTCTTTTTTGATCTGTCTGGCTTTGTCGGGTCTGCTGATAAGGGCTTACTTCAAATGCAAAAAGATTAGCTCTCTTTCCTTTAATAGCACAATTATAGCTTGTGTGATGTCTAAATCATGAAAGATATCGGGGACAGACTTCTAAAGTCGCATCAGTTTATTACAAAAGTGGTAGTAATCATTTTAATATCAAAATTACTCTAATTTCCTAGTGGCATTTAGGAAGTGTTGGGCACACATACACATACACACAAAGATTAGTAGCCATTTACTTCTAATTTGACTTAGATAATTGTTATAAATAACACAATGAAATTAAAAGGCTCTTTGTTATATTTTCACCTCTACCCAAGATGTTGTTCAGGCACCAAAAGAATATTGCCACATCAAAGCAAGAACCAAGAGATCCAGCTCGACATTTTTAGATATGCCAGAATCTGCATCGCATTTTTGGATTTAGTTCAACACGGGACTTAGCACTAAACACTAAAGAATAAATGTGCCTTCCTTAAAGATATGTAATATGTTTAATCCCATCAATGCTTAGTCTATTTCTTAAATCCTGGATTTAATATACTTTACCACGAGAGGGCAAGATTAAGATACCCTTTCTCATACTGGATCACACCTACCTCCTCAAGCATTACCATTAGTTATATTTCGACAGCAAGAAGAGCCCCTATTCAAGACCAGGGCCTGCAAGTGATTAAGTGGAATACAAATCTAACAGCAGAAGGAAGATATAGCTTACACTCCAAACTGACTTTGATTCACACACACCTATG